GAAGTACACTGCTGAGGGGAGCAGCGGGCAGGTCAGGAGAGGTCTGCCACTCTATGTTGTCACCTCCGGGGCAGGCGGGGATCGAACTCATGCGGAAGCGGCTTTAGTTTCTTAGTGCTGTGCTTTAACTCGCTGCGCCACCAGGGAGGGCCCGAGATACATATTTTTTTAAAGATTTATTTTATTTATTTATATATACAAGAGCTGGGGTGTGGACCAGAAGTATGGGAGAGGGGGGAGGTGAAAGTATCATTAGACACAGTGAGGAGCATAACAGGCAGCTCTACTGAAATACGCTGTAGAGGGTAGCAGTGGGCAAGACAGTTGAGGTCTGCTGCTCCACATGGGTCACTCCCTGACCAAGGATCAAAGTCATGCTGCAGTGGCTGCAGATAGCCTCATAGTGCTGAGACTTATTCCCTTGTACCATGAGGGAGGCCCAATTTTAATTGATACTGTTTGAAGTTTATTTTTTTTAACCATCATATATTGTTATATATGATCTGTTAAGTGCTGCCTAGTGAAAGAAAGTAAAAGCAACACAGGTTAATAATAATGGATACATGTAAGCAGCAAATAGAGTAAGTATATTAGAATGAAGGTTTCTTGGTTTTAGAACTTTTTTTAGGTTCACCATTGTTTTATTGTTGTGAGGAGTGATTGTATGTTCATCTTACATGTTTTCCCCCAAAATAATGCCACCTATCCCATTAGTATCTATAAAAATGGTAGGGAAATACATAAAACAGAGCAGTAATTTAAGAATTTGGTTAGGACCAATACCAAGAAATTATTTTCTTCTCTGCTCTTTCTTTGCAAAAGTACCTTTTTTGAAAAAATTGTTGTATTTATTTATGCATACAATAGCTGGTGCATATGCCAGAGGTGTCAGGGGTGAGAGGATTCACCAGACACAGAGTGGGGAGCAGACCAGGCAAATCTGACATACACTGCTGCAGGGAGCAGCAGGTGAGACAGGAAAGGTCTGTTTCACCATGTGAATTAACTTGCTGGCTGGGGATCAAACTCATGTCACAGTGGCTGGCATTAGCTTGATAGTGCTGAGACCAGGGAACCCCCCCCCCAAATTTTCTTATTTGATTTAGGTTTGTGGGGCTTTGTGTTTTGTTTGTTTGTATCTTACATTTTTCCTAATATACCCTTTCATCTTGTAGGTAGAATCTGGGTATGTCTGTGACGGTGATCATAAGACCATGGCAAAAGCCATCAAAGATAGGGTGTCATTAATTAAAAGAAAACGAGAGCAACGGCAGCTGGTCCGGGAGGAACAAGAAAAAAGAAAGCAGGAAGAGAGCAGTCTCAAACAGCAGCCAGAACAGCAATCAAGCGCTTGCCAGGCCGGAGTCAAGCAACTCCCTCCTGCTAGCACTGGCATACCTACTGCATCTACCACTTCAACTTCGGTTTCTACACAAGTAGAACCTGAAGAACCTGAGGCAGATCAGCATCAACAACTGCAATACCAACAACCTAGTGTATCTGTGTTATGTAAGTGTTTGGGAGTGGGTAACTACACTAATAATACTTAGCTTTTTATCTTAGTCATCATTTTGCATCAGCCTTTGATTTTGAATTGTGGATCCAAATATAAGAAATTTGAAATGGGTGCCGTCTATCTTTTCTCCTAAGTTAGACTTTGAAAGCTGTATCGAACATAAGATGAACTTTATATTTTATTTCCCTTATTGTCAGGTAATATTCTATGATAACTAAGGAATATTTTTAAAACATTAAAACTTCCTCCATGAATTTTTCATTTAAACAGAAATATACTTAAAATAGTATTCATTTTTCATTGAGTTCAAAATTGGCTAACCCTAAGTCATGAGTTTGTGTTGGGAAAATGTAGACCTGCTTTTTGTGATTTGTCTCTCCTCTCTCCTTTTTTTTTTGGCATTTCATTTCTCCTTCAGCTGACGGGACAGTTGACAGTGGTCAGGGATCATCTGTCTTTACAGAATCTCGAGTGAGCAGCCAGCAGACTGTTTCATATGGATCCCAACATGAACAGGCACATTGTACTGGCACAATCCCAGGGCATACCGCTTCTGTTGTCCAAGCACAATCTCAGCCCCATGGGGTGTATCCACCCTCAAGTATGGTAAGTAAATGCATGAGAGAGTGCTAGTTATAATCAGAGCCAATAAATAATGTGTGCATTCACATTCTTTCTAATATCTAACATCAGTTTGAAATGGAAAATGATAGGTGGTATATTTTTAAAGAAAAGGTTTGTTATACAGTATTATGGGAGTAGTTCAGACAGGGTAGGATACGTCCATTAATATGTGGGAATTAGCTGAACTTCTTATGTGAAGTAGCTGTGTATAAGATTTAGACTAATGAATTTGATTAAAAGAAATGCTCTCTTTAGCATGGTAGTGTTGAATCTTCACAAAACATTGTGAGTTGGACTTCACATGGTTGAGGTGTGGGAATGAGAAAAGTTTTCCAAAAACTTATTACAAAAATTGCTAAGTATTTTCTGTAAGATTTCTTATTGTATAAAACACAGGTAAGATCTTCAAACCATTATAGAATGCTGCATGTGAGTACTCTAGAGTACAGGAATCCTCTATTTGTATGACTGTTTTAATTTAGCGCTTATGTTTAGTTAATCATCAGTTGCTATGCTGTTCCTGCCTTAAAGTCTGTTGGACACAAGTTCCTTCCCTAGTATATGTTCATTTGCTTTTTCCCTTTATTTGGTATCTGTTTTGTTACTGATATATTTACAGATTCAACTTACAGAGATTATTCCCTGAAATATTTTATGTATATATATACACATACACACACATTACTACCCCACATTTTACATTAATCATTCTTCTCATATAGATGTTAAAGTAGGTCACCAGATAATTCTTTTGTTGACCTTCTGTAAAGTTTTTATAGAAAAATAAAATACATTTGCTCTAGAAAGGAGTTGGAGTATAGAGAATAACTGGTCATTGTATACCATTTGCTTAGTGAGCTTTTTAGGTAGACAGATCCTCCCCAGCCCCCACTTAGAAGCTTTTAATACAACTTTTGTGGAATACTCTTTCTATATTGAATGATTATCTTTCTCTTTTAAGAAAATACTTCTGCTTGCTCTGGTCTTTTATCCTATAGCTTAGAATAAAAGATGTTGTTTTAAAATCCATTCATTAGTTCTGCATTGGCTTGGTCTCAATGAATGGCCACAGTAACACAAAGCTACTAATGTACTAGTGTTTTAACAATCTAATTTTTAATGTTAATAATAAATCTACAGTAGGGTAGAAAAACTTAATGAACACTTGAAAGAAAATGTATTCCTATTTTCTGATGAATACTATTTGTCTTCATTTTTCATCACTTTTTATTCTTGGTCTAATTGATTTGTCCCCTGGATTATCATAACTAGTTTTTTTTCTATTGCTTTTAGTCTATTGACTTTCCTTATCACAGGGTTCTCACCATCACATCTCTAGGAATGGAAGTGAAATTTTAAATATTTGAGCCAAAAACATTGCTATATTTATTAATACCAAAGAACTATTTCTTGCCTTTTACTAACAATTTTCTATGGAATTATCTTTAAGAGGTAATAAATATTAAGGATTTTTTTCAATTTTGTTAACTATATTCTCATTACCAAAAGAATTTGTGGTGGCTATATTTTGTCACTTTTGAATTAGAATTTAAAAATAAGTGAAAAATAGAGAAAAGTAGTAGGACTAGAAAGAACAAATAATCATATCATGATACTTGTACACTTATACTCATGGACCACAAATTTGGCTCAACGCATTCTCTGAGACAATTTTAGAAGAGAAAATCCAATTAGTTACACAGTTCACAGTATCTAAAAGAAATATATAAATTTGCTCAGGACCGCCTTCCATTATTATATGTAGTACTTGTAGCTGTACTGAAACCTTATATAAAAGTACCTCAAACTTTTAAACCTAAGTTCAGTCTCTGGTGTCTGAAATATTTTAAGTTCCTCTATATTCACACATAAGATGTTTTTCACTGACTACTTTTGTAGAAATATACAATGTCTTGTGAATCACTGCTAGAAAGTTAATACTTTTCCTAGTAAAAAATTGACTTTGTCCCTTATAAAGATAGGCAAGTGTAATAAATAAAATACTGCGAATCAACAACTTTCTAAATTTGATACCTTTTAAGATAGAATGCAGAAATCTTTTCTAAAGTTAGCAGAGCTTTCCTGCAAAGTAACCTGATCTTTAAATTTTCCTACATCTTACAATTTATATTAAACTAACAAAATTTATTCTTGTTTAATCTTGGGAAGTTTGTACAAACTACAAACAATATACATTGTTTTCCCTCTCTGTTCTGCTATCTCAATAAATTGGTCATTCTTAATCTTAAAACTTGTAATAGTTAATGTTATTTCACACTGTTTAGGCAGATAATTGGCCATTAATTTCATAAAGAAACCGTACTAGACCAACTATAGAGAGCATATTATGATCTGCTTCATGTGCTTTCTGGAATTATATCTCTCCTCCAAAAATTGGCTTTGTGGAATTGGAGGATAATGGAACATTTCTTTATGTCAACTATGCCATATTATCATTGTACATTTGGTTATTTTATTTTCAAAGTACTGTGTTTTCATGTGTGTTTGTTTTCTGTTTAGCCTCGTCGTGGCCGTAGCATGTCGGTTTGTGTCCCCCATCTTTCTGCTGTTCCCTTTCTGTCCCGCATCTCTCCCAGTGCTCCTTCTACCCCACCACCAGTGCTGTCTGCACCTCTTTCTCCTTCCCTCCTTCGGACTGCCCCTGAGGAAACTTTTGCCGAAAAGCTTTCTAAAGCATTGGAGAGTGTCCTGCCTATGCACTCTGCCTCACAGCGCAAGCACCGACGCTCCAGCCTGCCTTCCCTCTTTGTCAGTACTGTATGTAACCATAATTTCCTGACAAATGAAAGTTTATTACCAATGAATACATCCAGGCATCAAGAATTTTAGTAAAAATTATCAATAGATGAACAGAACTGAATGTAATTATATATTATGCTTTTAGGCTACCAGTTCTCCTAGGAACCTTTATTGTTTCAAGAGTGTAAAGGCAGAAAAAGACAAGGATGTATAATGAGAATACTGTTGGCACAATCACATATATTGTGTCTGCAATAAAACTTAGCTTTTATTAAATCCTCCTATGCCCTATGAACATATATAAACCCCCTTGCATTCTCCTAATAAAGAGTAGGTATATTTAATTTAAATATTTTTCTTCTCCCTTCATTCTGAAGAGACAGTAATGAAACTTTATGAGTCCAATTTTTCTCATTATCTTTAAAGAATAATTAAAGTGTAAAGGTTGGTTTTAATTTGTTAGAAATTTAAAACAGTATGTTGAAAAACAAAAAGCCATATGATATTCCCTTATGGAAATTTTTTTCTGAGATTGAAGAAGATGGAAATTCGTACCTAATGAATACATTTATCCATATATAGTATATATGATTTTCTTTGGCCCCATTTATGTATGTGAATGATCCATCTTTTAAAGTTTTTTTAAACACTGTGAGATCTTGCTGCTGCTTTTCCATATAGAAAATATAGTTTACATTCTGATCTAATAGCACCCAAATCTTCAGGTTTTTATTATATAGTTATGACTTGGGTATATTTCTTGACTAACACCAGTTAGATGGCACATTCTGATTCAAAACAGAAATCCTCTTTAGCTGTTGTGAAGAAATTAGCAAATTAGTTAGCCACTTTGCTAACTTTGAGAGGGTCTCCTCTATTGAAATGATGAAAGTAAATTATTATAATGTGTACTGTGCATTTGGTATGGGTGGATTCTAAATTTGGAATCTTAAATCTAGAATTTCCATGAACAAAAAGTGCTATCAAATCAAGTTGACTTATTTATATTACTCTTCATCTGATTTGCACACCATATTCAGCCATTAACTGAGGTCAGATGAAAAGTGGACATTCAGTGACTTGACGTCTATAACACATTTCATGTAGTAAAATGAACTGCCTGTAGTTTGAGTTACACAGGAATCACATTACTGTCACTGGTCAAGTGGTGTGTTTTTTACAAGCCACCAAAAATCTCTTCTGACTAATACTTAGGAGACTAAGTGAGTTGATAAAGGCAATAATAATAATAACACTGGGACCTCAGACTCTGCACAGGATAGTAAGGATATAGGAAGACATTTTATAAAAAAATATAAGTTGAAGAGCATTTCTTATAAAAGTTGTTGGAATGATACAATAAAATTTCCTGGAATTGTCTTCCATTAAGCTTAATTTTCTTTTTACTACTGATATAATTGATGCTGTTTTCAGAGTGAGTATATTAATTGTGGTACAGGCAAAATACTCACTAAGAAGTGAATATCTTCTGCTTCCTTTCAGAAAAGTTATGGAAAAGCAGTTTTATCCAAAGCAAAGAGTCTCACAGAATAACTTATTAATCCTGGATGTATTTAATGGAGTTTTACTAAGCCCATAATTTCCAAAAGCATTGTTATTTATTAATTATAAATTTGGTGTAACCATTTCATAGGGTTACACAGAGCTACCCAGTTGTGCATGTCTAATGTAATTTCACATATGAATGTATGAATTACTTGTCTTATTCATGTTGATACAGCCTCAGTCCATGGCGCATCCGTGTGGGGGGACCCCAACATACCCAGAATCACAGATATTTTTCCCAACTATTCATGAACGTCCAGTTTCTTTTTCACCACCTCCCACCTGCCCACCGAAGGTGGCAATTTCCCAGCGGCGTAAGAGCACCTCCTTCCTGGAAGCCCAAACACGCCACTTCCAGCCCTTGCTGAGGACTGTTGGCCAAAATCTTCTTCCACCTGGTGGCAACCCAACTAACTGGACACCAGAGGCCGTAGTTATGTTGGGTACTACAACCAGTAAAATTACTGGAGAGCCATGTGAGATACAGGCCCATCCTGTGTTTGAACCAGCTCAAATTTACAGTGACTATAGACCTGGACTAGTACTTCCAGAAGAAGCTCACTATTTTATTCCTCAGGAAGCAGTGTATCTAGCTGGGGTACATTACCAGACACAGGTGACAGAACAGTATGAGGGTATTTCGTACAACTCACCAGTACTGTCGAGCCCTATGAAACAGATACCTGAACAGAAGCCAGTCCAAAGGGGCCCTACTTCAACTTCTGTCTTTGAATTTCCATCTGGACAGGCTTTCCTGGTAGGACACCTTCAGAATTTAAGATTAGATTCTGGATTGAATGCAGGATCTCCCCTCTCTAGTGTTTCTGCACCTATCAGTACAGATGCTGCACGTTTGAAATTTCACCCTATCTTTGTTCCTCATTCTGCGCCTGCTGTGTTAACTCATAACAATGAGAGCAGAAGCAATTGTGTATTTGAGTTTCATGTTCACACACCAAGCTCCTCTTCAGGAGAAGGAGGAGGAGTTTTACCACAGCGTGTTTACCGAAGTCAACAGGTGGCAGTGGACTTAAATCAGGAAGAAACACCTCCTCAATCAGTTGGATTACCTGGCCGCCTGCAGCCTGTGACTGAAGAACAGCATAATTACCATGCCCCAGAATTGACTGTTTCTGTGGTAGAGCCTATCGGACAGAACTGGCCAATAGGAAGCCCAGAATATTCCAGTGATTCCTCACAAATTACTTCTTCAGATCCCAGTGATTTTCAGTCACCTCCCCCTACAGGGGGTGCAGCAGCACCTTTTGGCTCTGACGTCTCATTACCCTTTATCCGTCTGCCTCAGACAGTGTTGCAAGAATCCCCACTTTTCTTCTGTTTCCCCCAAGGAACCACCTCTCAGCAGGTCTTATCTACTTCATTATCTTCAGGAGGATCTACACTCCATCCACAGGTTATAGGAAAACTTCCACAATCCTTTTAAACTACCCTATTCTGTATCATTACATTTAAGTCTTCTATCCCTCATTATCATTGATGAGGAATATTGTTTAATTTTATTTGTATTGTTTTCCACATTGGCGGATTATAAGCTACTGTATTTAAGAAATAAGAGAGAGAAACTGCGTAATTTATGTGTAATATGTGCAAACTCTTGGAGAAAAAACAAAAGCTAGAATCATAGTTACTCCTCAGAAACAATTTTATCTGTTTGTAGTATGTTTTCAGTTAATAGTATAAAAATACAAGTATCTATAATGTACTGATTACTTAAAAATAGTAATGTTAAGTATTTCTTCCTAGAAACAAACATGACTAGTTTAAGAATAATAATGACATTTTTCTTGTAAGTAATACTTGTTTGAATATTAAAAATGCACTGAACTTTCATTAGTGTGGAAGATCTTAAAAGAGAAAGGAAATATCTTAGGAAATTGCCTTAACAAATGAAGGTGCCTTTTTCAAATGACTTTAAACAGGTCGCTGTGTTATGTGACTAAGTAAAATATTAATCCATAAAATGATTTTAATTTTTAGCAGCTAAAAAACTAGTCTAAGTGGTGGTCTTCCTGTTCAGAATTTGTGATGTGTTGCAAGCTAAGGCACATTAGATACCTCATGATCTTATTTTTTTCTGGACAAATTTAAATTTTGCTATTTACCTGTATAAGCTTACACACTATCATGCAAATAAAGACAAAGTAGTGGACACAATAGAATTCAAGGAAGTGGAATCAGATAACATTTGACACATTTTGGCAAATGTTAGAAAGTCTGTGGAGTTACATTTTTAAGATAGTTTGGATCTTTCAGATAGTCCCCTCTTATCTGTGTTCTTCCTACTTTCTTTGTATGTTATTTCCCCATAAACAACCCTGCAAATGTATGTACAGTATCAATTACTTAGCCTAGTACTAAAAAGCAGAAAAGTCCAGAAATTGTACTGCTTGTCATACAGTATACTCACATTATATACTCACATTATATACTCATCACCCCTTACTGTATATTCTAATGTACTACCAGCCATTGTCCTTTAGACTTTCTGAAGTAAAATTTCAACTATCAGATAGTTAATTTACAGACAAGTGCAGAAAAAATAAATACTTAAAGGTGCAATGGAATGTGATGTTATAGCCAAGTAAACTACTAAAAAAATCCCACTAAGCTGAAATGAAACCTCAAAATGGTAGCTTTTTATTTCCTTAACTACCCTGTGTAGATTCCTGCATTCTTTTCTTACTTTCTCCTTTACCCTTCTTGAAAGTTGGAATATTCTAAGTGAGGCTTCCTCAAATTCAATTCTGTAAACATTTTGTGTTGGATAATTCTGTGTCATGGGTGGCTGCTCTATGCATTATAGGATATTTAGCAGCACCCTTGGTCTCTATACCTTACGTTATAGTAGCAACCACCTCTCTCCATTGTGACAACCGAAAATGCCCCTGGTGGTGGTGAGGAAACATAATTGCCCATGATATACTACCACTGTAGGTATGTAACAGTTGATAATAGGTTTTTTTTACACTTTTGATAAAAGTTATCATCGTACAAGAAATAACAAAAGGAACTCATTTGGCATTATCATGTGCCTCCTCTTCTTCAGATACAAAGATTTTTACATTTACCTTGTTTTAATTATTATGTTTTCAGTAATAATTTTATTATGAATGTTACTGTTCTGACCTACCAAAATTATTTCTTGACCAAGCAGTGAATGGTAAATTATTAGGTATTAATCATCAATAGTTTTTATAGGGAATCAAGATACGCTCTGTGATATGATCCGTCTCATCTGACAAAAGATGCCCTAGCAGTCTCTCCAACACATACTTAGTCAAGCTAAGTATTCATTTTGCTCTGAAGCAGACTCCCAGTAGCTGAAATGTTTACTGCAAAAACCTAACCACTGTTTTCTCTACATACCTTAGAACTTATTTAATTTGTTGTATTCATTTCTTCCCTTCAGGCACAGGCGCAAAGCCAGGGTCAACCATCTTCAAGTAGCTTAACAGGGGTCCCATCTTCCCAGCCCATTCAACATTCTCATCAGGTGAGAACAGTTCATTACCTTTGTTATGGACTAACGATAGATAGCTAGAACATCTTTTGTGAGTTAGACTCGTGATTTCAATGGCTTGCTAATTGAGAGGAAAGAGGCATTACATTTCTTGTGCTTAGTAATCTTTTTGAAAACCTGTATTTTTTAATCTACTAAGTTAAAGTTTTAAAAAATCATTATTACTGATATATTTACCTTTAACAAATGATTCTATGTAGAAATTAACAATACAGAATATCAGTTTGTTTCTATTTATGTTTACAACTTGTCCTTTTTTGAGCATTTTGTTAATTGCTTTCAATGTGCCTGACTCTAATACTCCTTTTTATGCGCCTTTTTAATAATTTCTAATCTGCAAGACAGGGTATCAGATTTTATGTTAGTCACTGAATGAAAGCCTAAGAACAATAACTTTAGGGATTTTTTTCCCTATTTGAGTTTTTTTTTGATAATAGTTTATTTTTACATCATTTTGTGCATTTTTTCGTCTCAATTGTAATCCCATCACCAAATCACCCATGTGCCATCACCATAGTCTAGTGCATTTCCTTCCCCCCACTGTTTTTGATCCCATTCCCCACTCCACCCCCATAAAATGTCTGGCATATAGCTGTTCATTATTATTGTTATTTTCTCTCCTGGTCTGTTATACTCCTGCTTTGAATGAAACCATCTGGTATTTTTCCTTTTCTTTCTGGTTTATTTCACTAAGCATGATCTTCTCCAGCTCCGTCCATATTGCTGCAAAAGGCATGAGTTTCTTTCCTTTTTTTTTGGTTGCTAAGTAATACTACATTGTGTATATGTATCACATCTTTTTAATCCAGTCATCCACTTTTGGGCATTTGGGCTGTTTCCATGTCTTTCCAATTGTAAATAAAGCAGCAGTAAGCATGAAGGTGCAGGTATCTTTTGAATCAGTGTTTTTGTGTCTTTTGGGTAGATACCTAGGAGTGAGATTGCTGGGTTATATGGAAGCTCCATGTTTAGCAGTTTGAGGAACCTCCAGACATTTTTCCATAGTGGTTGTACGCATTTGCATTCACCAGCAGTACAGGAGAGTTCCTTTTTCTCCATCCTCGCCAGCATTTGTTGTTGTTAGTTGTTTGAAGATGTGCCATTCTCACTGGGATGAGGTGAAGGGATTTTTTTTTTTAACTTCTAATTTGGGGTTTTATCTACAAGCTTCAAGAGACTTGAGATTACTGCAATGCTAATGTATCCAATAGTAAAAATGGTAATTCTAAAATTATATATCTAGCTAATCACTATTTTAATGAATAATAATTATTTGCATGGGAATAATTCTTTGGGACACAACTGGATATTTGTTAGCTATAAAATCATTATTAGGCTATAAAATTTGTAGCCAATACATATCTTACTGAAATTTTTCCATGATTTATTAGTATTTCATTGACATTTCACTAAGAAGATGTTTTTGTGACATCAAATTACAAATTGGGCAATGTTTCTGTGAGTTTTTGAAACAAAACTTTTAATTCTTGATACAAAAGGCTACTTCTAGTCTGACATGTGTTCATGTAGTTATCTGACACTAAGATTTAAGATTAGTGTTCTTGTACAAGGTTAGTTTAGTTTTATATATATTACTGGTTGATCAGCGCCTTGTGTTATATTGTAAAGGACTTGTAGTTACTGTCTGCTTTGTTTTGTTTCTGCCTTTTTTTCTAGATAAGTATCTGAATCCATTTTTGATTATAATTAAGTTCAAGGAGTCACATTTTTGCCTCCCTTTAACAAATTCTTATTTTGATTGTATTAACAACCCCTTATAAGAACACAAACTAAAAGTTACATAAAACTGATTGAAGACAGAGGCACTGTCATTGTGCCATTATCTGAGCAAAGCTAAGTAAATGCTCTCTTTTTCCTTTACAAAGGAATTTGTTATATCTCTTGTATTTGGGCATATAGATCTAGTACCAAACTAAGAAGATAGTGAGACAGTATTGAGTTCAGTGATGAGAAAAATATGCAAAGGTAGTAAATGGTAGTCCCATAAATGTCAAGTCAAAAGAATTAGGTAGTTGGTTTTTACTGTGGGGAAATGTGTCAAAATGAATATTACCTCAGTACAAAGACTATGTTTTAGTAATGCTTTTTATTAAGAACTTTTATTTTGTGAATTATTTTTAAATTGTAGCTTCATATTTAAATTAAGTAGAATCATAAAATCGAGCCCTCAATGTACAAGAAATGAATGCACACTAGAACTTTCCCAGAGTCACAACAGTAAATGGAGAAAACTAAAATTTACAGAATTTCTAGAATAGTGTTCTTTTTGGTAATAAGTAATGTTCTGTAAGGATTTAAGACTCTACAAAGGTACCTAGGAAGAAACTGCATTTGGTTTAGCTACTAGAGTTCCTTTAGTTTAAAAAAAAAAAAAAAAGGCTATATAAAAAGGCCATAACACTACTAACACATTTATAGTCTTTTTTTTTTTTTTTTTTTTTTTTTTTTTTTAGTTTTCCCATTTTCAAGTATTTTATTAGTCCCTTATTAATTTTTTGGTATATTTTCAATTTATTTCAGTCTTGCATTTTTTAAATTTCTTTAATTCATCTATTCATTTTTATTCTTGTTTATCAACATAACTTTTTTTTTTTTAAGCTAATTTTTGGTTTACATTGTTGTTTGTATTTGGGGACTATAGCACCTGCCCCTTAAGTGTTTTTGCCATAATGTACCTACCACCAAAGCTCCTGTGGCCCACTACCTAGTCCATTGAGTTCCCTCCCCACATTGATCTGATAATCTGTTTTTTAGATGTGATGTTAATTTACTTATTCTCAGGTTCCAGCCCTACTTCAGATAATTGTATGTTTCATTTCATTGTATTAGCATGAGGGAAAAAATTTACTTTGGCTTAAATTTATTTCATGGGCTTCTAGAATATAGTGAATAAGGGACTCCTTGTTTTTTTGTTTTTTTTTTTTTTCATGTTTTTTAAGTGTTCCTTCCAGCTTGTGCTTGCTCTTAATTAAGTACCAAAAATAGCCTCTTCCTACTGGAAAACTTAGTAATTGCCACAAGCAAGGTCATGTGCTGCTCTACTTGTTTAATAATATCCATGTGGCACATGTGGAATCATAGGGTATTTCTTACTTTCTTTTCAACTGATGCTTGTGAACAGGTGTTTCCATCAAGCATTCATGTTACTATAATACTGACAACTGTGACTGTTAGTACAGTCAGTATAAGCTATTTGAACTGGTTTTGTGAGGCTAGTTTATACAAAGCATGGTGCCAAACTGCCATGCTAAATAGTACCTGTTTAGCTGAAGTATTGATTATTGTCCAATGTGCCTGGGTACAAAAAATTTACCATGTACTTTGACCTTCCCAGAGGCATTATTTCTCCCTAAGTGTTTTTAAGGTATAACCAACATACATGCTGTCAATTATTATAAGCAAAGTGTGAGGGCATGTGTATATAAAACTGCTCATTTTTGACAGGTCCCATCCTTGACTAATTGAACAGGTTTTTTACTAATTGAGTTCCTGTTCTGAAGGGCTATGTACTCTTTTATCTTTTTTAAAGAGTTACTTATTTGTGCATACAGAACTGGGGTACAGGCCAGAGGTGCAGAGGCGGTGAGAGGATTCACCAGAGACAGTAGGGAGCAGAACAGGCAGATCGTCAAAGTACACTGCTGAGGAGAGCAGCGGGTGGGTTAGGAGAGGTCTGCCTCACAGTGTGAATCACCTCCGGGTAGGCGGGGATCAAACTCATGCGAAAGTGCCTTTAGCTTCTTAGTGCTTTAACCCGCTGTGTCACCAGGGAGGGCCAGGCCATATACTCTTAAGCAATGAGAGTCTACCATCATAGATCAGGTATTACTATTTTCATGTAGCCTATTTAATCCAATAAATATATGTGAGTGCCTACAAAGCAAATAACATTACATACAACTTGCAGAGCATTTTGCTTGAGTTTTTATACGATCCTAATGTGAACCTTGTAAGTTATCCTTATTTACACTCTAAGTGGCCTGAAATCTGAAGAAATGAGTAATTTTCCCAAGCTGACATTGTTTATAAAAAGTAGAAAACAGAATTTCAATCCAAGTAGTGTGATTCCACAACTCTCCATTTAACTACTATCTAATTATGTTATGAGAGATTTTAAGATCTCCCATGTGAAGGTTTTCTGAAAGAGATAGTGTTTGAATTCGAAATGCAGAATAATAAAGGCCAAAAGGGGGAAAACCGTCAATATAAGCAAAATTGAAGGCCCAAAGATAGAAAAACATGTGAGATAGAGATATCAGCCTCTAGTTCATTTTAGCTAAAAGCACAGGTTAATTTAGTACAGGTTCAGGAAACAACTGTTAAGTCCAAAACTTGATGTAAAACATGGTTCCACACTCATGGGGTATGGAAGAGAGGTAATCATGTGCTCCAATGGGGCTTTTTTCCTCACATTTAGCAAAAAGAAGGGAATTACCAGATATTCAGGTCTTTATTATACTCATATTATAAGCTCTCCCTGCCTTTTATTTTGAACAGTAACCCAAAACTGTTAATGGAATAAAATAAAACTGGTGAGAAAATACGTGACTAAAAATATTTAGACAACATTAACAAAACTGATTTTAATATAAAAAATAGAAATTAAGCATAGATTTAGTTCTTAGTCTTAAGGGAGCAATTTCACTATTCCCGGATTCTGTATGTCATTGTACACAGCATGTACAACTTTAAGAAGTTATACAAGCACTATATGGGTATAAACCTATAAAATAAATGTAAAAAATGAGCCCAGCTCTTCCAATATTACTTAAACAAGTGTTTGTCATTGCAAATTTTGCCTCAAGACCCAACTTAAAGAGAAAATACTATGTTAAAACCTAGAACATTCATAGGTAGCCATAGTAAAGATCAATACGCTTGCAAATGAAGAGCTTGAATTACAGAGGTACAGTATTTTTCAATTAGTATACTGCGTAACATATAGTCTTAGATATGTAAATTATTGACATAAATAATTGTAGATATTTTAATATTAATTCTTTAAAGTGTAAGTATATTCAGTTTAACCAAAAGGCTTTCTCTTTTTTTAGTTCTTCTTTCTCAGTGGAAAAATGGGGAAATTGTCTTCCCCATTGTCATCCAGAGTCGCCTTATAGTTGGATACATGATATATCTTAGTTTCTAAAAATAAAGTAATTCAGCAGCCATTTGTTCATATTTTTTAAGTTAAAATAAGAATATATTAGCCCTCCCTCGTGGCACAAAAGGCTAAAGTTGCATCACTGCAAAGCTGGCCTAAGCTGCTTAGATGCAAATTCAAATCCCTGCCCCAGAGGTAACCCACATGGTGTGCAGCACAGCAGACCTCTCCTGTCTCGCCCACTGCTCCCCTCAGCAGAGTACTTCGTCAGTCTGCCTCTTCTGCTGCCCCCTCTGTCTCTGGTGAATCCTCTCATCGCCCCTGCACCTCTGGCCTGTATCCTAGTTCTGTATGCATAAATAAATCTTTAAAAAAAAAAAAATAAGAATATATTACCAGAAATAATTATATAAGAATAAAACAACTTCTATCACCATTATATTTGGCATTCTTATAGTAATTTTAATATACATAAGAAAGAAGTAAGAAATAAATATCAGGAGAGCAGATACTGCATAGTGTCAACTAGCAAAATATAGGATATTAAGGTGATTAATTAAGGTGGTTAATATACAAAAAGTATACAAAGGAAAATAAAGTCCTGGGGATTTAATGTAGAGTATGGCAATTATAGTTAATAATACTATATTGTATATTTGAAAGCTGCTATACCATATTTTACATGGTAAGCAAATAACATATATTGATTATATCAAAGATATATATGTTTCATGTGTGTGTGTGTGAAACAAATAGCTTATTTTATACCAACAGTGACCTATTAGTTGTTTGGACAGGGACATACATGTAAAGGATATTGGTTGTAACATTATTTTAAGTAGCTAAAAAGAAAATACTCAAGGGTAGGAAGACCACAAGGGAAATTCTGTGGGGACTACCTGAGAAAACAAAGCAGACAATGTAAAAAAAAGAACAATGTTGTAAATTATATATAAATTTTTCTTAATCAAGTGTTAATCATTAGGATATCAAAATCATTAATAGCTGAAATGAAAATGACAAAATCATAGAACAGTATTAATAGAACAAAAAAAAGAAAAATCTACCTATGAGTAAATTACCACTTGTGCTTAGACAAAAACCCATAAAGGTGATATGCCAGATTACCAACAGTGGTTGCCTCTGGAGAATTAGTGTTTAGGGGTATTTCCACTTTTTTCTAAATTTTTATTACAGGTGTTTATTAACTTTTATTTGAATTTTTAATTATAGTTATTAAAGAGTTTTGACAGTCATCTATAAAGTTCTATTTTTGTTATGCAGGAATGGACCATTAATTTTGGGATGATAGTCTTGTGTTGTTTGCTTGACTTATAACAAAATTTAATATTTGGGTATAGTTATATATCACATGTTACTGAGTTTAATATTGACCAGAGCCCCTTACACATGGTTGATTCCCAGATGTCTTTCTCTTTGTCCTACTATGAGTTGAGTGATAATGTCCTTTGAAATGAAGGAAACCTCATTTTGACAGTAACATCAATAAATGATAAATTCAAAATTATTTTGAATAGAAATTCTTCAAGCATATTAATTATACAATTGGTGAAATAGTTTACTGGAAAGTGATTAAAGGAGGAGATTGGATTGAGTTAGTATAGGACCAAAGTGAGAGTGAATACCAGAAATTGTAGGAAAAAGAGAAAAGAGAGAGTACAAGAAAACCGATTGGTTGGATATTGGATGTGGTATCTAAAAGTGTTGCAAATAACCGGCTGTTGCGATAAAGGAGGATGTTGGGTGAAGAACCAGTGGTGATTTTTGGAACATTGGTTATTTATTCTTGGTGGTGTATCATCAAAAAAAAAAAAAAACAAAAAAAAAACAGAACATGAGAAATGTAAAGGGGAATTGATTCATTTGGGTTTGTTCATGTGTTGATTATGGAAATTGACATCACATAGACAGTGAAACCCTTAGGCAAACATACTTCCTTAGAAGCATGTAATTGATGACTTAAAACTGAACAATTAAATTTTTTTCCTCAACAGCAGGGGATACAACAAACAGTCCCTCCTCAACAGACAGTGCAGTATTCACTTCCACAGACATCAACCTCTGAGGCCACTCCTGTACAGCCAGTGAGTCAACCTCAAGCTCCACAGGTCTTGCCTCAAGTGTCAGCTGGGAAACAGGTAAACTCTTTAATTTCTAAAAGAAAGATCTGATTGTAACTTGTCCTTTTGTGTGGATGGGCTTCTTCTACCTTTTCGTCTAATAGTAAAATAATGAAATTGGTTAGTTTCATGATAGAAATTGTTCTTCTCTCCTTATGCAGTGGCTAATGGTACATACCATGGTCCATATTTTCCATTCTTCCAAGTCCCAGTGGTAATTGGTAAATGTGTCTATACTGATAGCACTAACAATCCAAAAAGGCTTATCAGTCTAAAATCATTTTGATTGGTATTAAATGAAAGTGGTTTGGTAACTGAACCTGTGATATTGTCTAGAATTATGTCAACTAAATTTAGTATTCTGAATTTGCAGCTAGGCTGTATTTTCATGTAGAACTTTATATTGTTCTCCCTCATTGCTACTGACAGTAGGTCATGAAAAGTACCCTTTGGGAGTATGGTCTTTTCAAAGACCTTTACAATCTTTCTTCATTGAGGCTTGTTGTGCTTGTCTTTTGGCACATTGTGGTGTTATTGCCATATATTATTGCCATCTGAGGTGCTATGAATTATAAAATGTTAACCATTTTATGCAATTGTGTGAGATATTTCAGTTTAACACTTACTTAAATGATGAAGTGGTTGAAAGGAATGCTTGCATCCTAGAATCAATAGAATAAGGTAATTACGCCTAATTTTATAGACTTAAGAATTGTAGTAGCAATGTGGGTAAAATCTAATTTCATTGGGAAGGAATTTCAGTTCTGGTATAATAGCATATAGACTTAGTGACAGCAAACATGCCATTTCATTATGGTATGTGAAATAGATTTCATTAAAATTTTTTTCATAAAAACCTCCCGTGAAAAGATCTACCTTTTATTGTTAAACAGTGAATGAAACCTTTGCAAAATGTTCTGCAAAGATATAGGACAATAGTTAGTTTATCAGCCTCTTGTCCTGCTATCCTTTCCCTACTCTTATGTGGCATATTAACTTACACTAATGTATGCAGGGTTGGTTGTTTTTTGTTTTTTTATGTTTTCTTCTTTTTGGCTAGTGAAACTTGCTTTTAGCAGCCTTGCTTTTTTTTTTCTTTTTTTTTTTTTTTTAAAGTCTATTTTGTTTTTCTCTACCTTCTCAGCTTCCAGTTTCCCAGCCAGTACCAACTATTCAAGGCGAACCTCAGATCCCAGTTGCAACACAACCCTCAGTTGTTCCAGTCCACACTGGTGCTCATTTCCTCCCTGTGGGACAGCCACTCCCTACTTCCTTACTCCCTCAGTACCCTGTCTCTCAAATTCCCATATCAGCTCCTCATGTGTCTGCAGCTCAGACAGGCTTCTCATCCCTGCCCATCACAATGGCAGCTGGCATTAATCAGCCTCTGCTTACCTTGGCTTCATCTGCTACAGCAGCTACAATCCCAGGGGGATCAACTATGGTTCCTAGTCAGCTTCCAACCCTTCTGCAACCTGTGACTCAGCTACCAAGTCAGGTTCACCCACAGCTCCTGCAACCAGCAGTTCAGTCCATGGGAATACCAGCTAGCCTTGGACAAGCTGCTGAGGTTCCACTTCCCTCTGGAGATGTTCTGTACCAGGTATTGTGTTGACTAACATAAAAAAGGGCACCAGAGGGTCTGGTTTAATAGCACACCATCCTGGGCTTGAAAATCTAATCAGAGTATTAACTACCAATAACAAAAGTTTTTGATCTCTGCTAGAGCTGTTAAAACAGTAAAATTCTGAGAAAGGATAGGGTGATGATGTCTGATGATACCATTTATGTTTTTCTTAAGACATCTCTTGGGAGAAAACGGTTCTCTCTGTGTCCACTATAATCTGATTAAATGCTAGATATGACTAATAGTGAAGTGCATCAGTCTACTTTTTTCATAGATAAATAGAATAGCCAATTGGTATCAATAAAAAGCTCCAGGGTTTGGATTTAAAAGGTTAGCATGTTATCATTCTGTTTAGATTTAGAAGGTTAGCATGTTATCACAGGAATGACTGAGACCTTGAAGAGTTTTTGCATTCTCCCATTTAAGAGATACCAAAAATAGTTTGTTTCTTTCTTTGTAAGAAGTAACTAAGTCTGTTATTCCTATTTAAATAGTCTCTCAAAGGAGAAGAAAATCTGGCTACTTAAAGTATAATTGTAGAGTCCCCTGAATTGAAATTGGACTGCCATTTCAAGAATCATCTTTAAATTATTACAGCGATGAGTTGCTATTCTCTGCTATTTGCTTGCTTTCCCCTTTTTTCCCCCCTTGTCTTCCTGTTTTGCTAATTTGATTATCCAGCCTGTACTAACTTGCCTTCCTCATTTCTATCACAGGGCTTCCCATCTCGACTACCACCACAGTACCCAGGAGATTCAAACATTCCTCCCTCTTCCAGCGTGGCTTCTGCTTGCAACCCTGCTACACTCTTATCCCCTCCCATGCCAACAGAAGCCTTGGCTACACCAGGTTACTTTCCTGCAGTGGTGCAGCCTTATGTTGAATCAAATCTTTTGGTTCCTATGGGCAGTATAGGAGGACAGGTTCAAGTGACTCAACCAGCAGTGAGTTTAGCACAACAAGCCCCCACAACATCCTCCCAGCAAGCCGCTCTGGAGGTAAATGGAATTCCTTGCATGTTTATATATAATGTCTAAAAAATGAAAAAGGAGTAACCCAGGTTGACCTAGTTTAGACGTGTGGAAACTATATCAAACTAACTTCTGAATGACTTTTTCTTACAGCAGAATGAAATGCCAATGTGGGGGCCTTGTTGCCACTGGCTGTTCTGCTGGGAAGTGAGTGTGCCTTGGAAAAGAATAGTTCTATTAGCACTTCACTTCTCTAGCTAGTATTTTAGCCATTACTCTTATCCTTTCACAAATTCTTGCCATTGGCAGTCATAAGAATATCTTATCCTACTAGGAGAAAGGTCTGAATCATCTTTGCACTTTCTTCTGCCTGCCCTATTGCACACTTCTGGTAAGATGCTGTCTGCATGACAAGTTGTAGTTTATCACTACCAATCAACTGTGTTGGCTGATGTCACACCATGCAGTCTGTACCAGAGATTAACGTAGAAACTTACTTTGGAATTTTAAGACCGCCATCTCTCTAGATACTGAATATTAAGAGTTACTTGTAAGTATAGTGCTTCTCAGACGTAGGGAAAGGATAGTTGAAAAAAAAAAAGTGGGGGGGAATAGCTATTGGGGATGGTGATTAACAAAATCTATCACTGCTAAGATTGAATTATCCATTCTATTCACAGAGTACTCAGGGAGTCTCTCAGATTACTCCTTCAGAGCCAATTCCAATAGCACAGCCACAGCCTACCCAGCCTACTGCTTTGGTCTCTTCTTTAGACAGGTATGTAAAAGTAAAATTCTCTTTCCTTGATTGGTAGGTAGGAGGGTATAAAACTTAAAAATATCATACACTTGTGGCCCTCCCTGGTGGCGCAGCGGGTTAAAGCACAGCACTGAGAAGCTAACGCCACTTCCGCATGAGTTCGATTCCTGCCTGCCCCGGAGGACCACATGGCGAGGCAGACCTCTCCTGACCCGCCCGCTGCTCCCCTCAGCAGTGTACTTCGTCGATCTGTCTGCTCTGCTCCTCTCTCTGTCTCTGGTGAATCCTCTCACCCTCCACATTTCTGGCCTGTACCCTAGTTCCATATGAATAAATAAATAAATCTTTTTTAAAAAAAAATGTCATACACTTGTATCTCATATTATTAACTCAACTTTTTTTTAAAGTGCACATTCAGATGTTGCTTCAGGTATGAGTGATGGCAATGACAATGTCCCATCATCCAGTGGAAGACACGAAGGCAGAACTACTAAACGACATTATCGAAAATCTGTAAGAAGTCGCTCTCGTCATGAAAAGACTTCACGTCCAAAATTGAGAATTTTGAATGTAAGTATTGCTGTTTTGTGGTTTTCGTGTAATTTGTTGATATCGTTTCAATATATCTTAAGGCTCAGGTGTATTGAGGAATGTTTAGGATGTTCTGAATACCTGAATGTATTGCTACTTTCCATATTTCTGTGATGAGGCACTATTTACATTTCAGAAAAAGACTCATGTCAAGAAGACCAGAAACAAGTGTTGGCAAGGATGCAAAAGGAAAGCAATTGCCATACACTGTTAGTGGGCACTTAGACTGGTCCAGCCTCTATAGAAAATAGTTTGGAGGCTTCTCAGAACATTAAAAATAGGTCTACCATATGATCCAGCAATACCACTCCCAGATAGTTACCTTAAAAAAGCAAAAACATGAATTTGAAGTAATATGTGCACTCCTGTGTTCATTGCAGCACTTATGATAGCCAAGTTATGGAAACAATCTTTAAAGATAGATGAGTAGATGAAAAATATGTGCTACAGTAACACAATGGGTAACTACTTAACTATTTTAAAAAACAAAAAAGATGAACTATTTCCAAATGCAATAATATGGGTGGAATTGGAGGGGATAATGCAGAGTGAAGTAAATCAGAAGGAGAAAGACAACTATCATGTGGAATGTAGAAAAACAATTCAAAGGACCAGATACAACCAAACCTATAACAAACCCTAGAAATCTGACCATAGAATTGAGACTGGCAGAAAGAGAAAATGAGTGTAAAGAACAAAATATATAGGGACCAGTAGACTGTGGTGGAGGACCCTGATGGCCTTGGTTGTACGTGTGGTGTGGTGATATCTCAGTGTTTTGTTTTTAAGTAATTTCTTGCTTAAATGTTTAATTATCTTTTTTTTTTAAGCTTTATTTATTCATACAGAACTGGGATACAGGCCGGAGGCACAGGGGCAGTGAGAGGATTCACCAGAGACAGTGGGGAGCAGAACAGTCAGACTGACAAATTACACTGCTTGTGGTAGCAGTGAGTGGGTTAGGAGAGGTCTGCTGTGCCTTGTGAGTCAGCTCACATGCTGGGTATCAAACTCTCATTGAAGCAACTGCAGCACACTTGGCAGTACTGCTCTTTAACCCAGTGTGCCGCCAGGGAGGGCCCTAATTGTCTTTTTTAAAAATGAAAAAGAATAAGTTTACTTTGTAGAAGGAAGACTTTATAATCCCTCTATAGTCCTTATTGCAGTCTTCACTGCATGGAAGATCAGTAACTCGAAGGCTGATAATCTTAGCGTTTCCTTAGTCTTAGTAGAGAGACAAAGTACCAGTGATCCAAGGAGTAGTGAAAAAGGGTTAAGTTGAAATGGTAATCTGCATTACTTTCTCAAAATCAGTACCAGTGCTGTGAGTATATTTTCTGAAATATGCAGTGCTTTTTCTTTTTTCTTTCTAGGTTTCAAATAAAGGAGACCGGGTAGTAGAATGTCAGTTAGAGACTCACAATAGGAAAATGGTTACATTCAAATTTGATTTAGATGGTGACAACCCTGAGGAGATAGCAACAATTATGGTATGTCTGCATTTTGAATTTCACATTTTGTCTTAGTACTTGATTAATATCCACTGCCCTGCATAAATAAGCAGTATTTTGTAATCTGTTTTGACATTAAGTACTTATTTCATTGTGAATACAAATAACATACTAAATCTAGTTTGTTCAAATAACATACAATCTAGAAATGTTTTTGTCTATGACATGTCTAAGTGAGCATTGTAAAACTCACATAGCAAATAAAACATGTGTTTTGCAGATAGGGCTGAAGTCATGAAAGTGGTAATTGAATGACTTAAAACTTGAGAGACTTGCCAGAGCAATAAGACAGGAAAAAGACATACAAGGTATCCAAATAGGGAAAGAAGAAGTAAAACTATCCTTATTTGTAGACAATATGTTAATTTACGTGGAAAACCCTAAAAACGCCACAGAGAAATTAATCAAAACCATCAACCAGTTTAGCAAGGTAGCAGGATCTAAAATCAACACACAAAAGTCAGAGACTTTCCTGTATACAACCAACCAATCAGAAGAAGCAGAAATTTTAAAAAATCATCTCCTTTTCAATTAAAACAAAAAGAATCAAATACCTGGGAGACAACCTAACAAAAGAGGTGTTACAAAACACTGTTAAAAGAAATACAAGAAGACATCATGAAATGGAAAGACATCCCCTGTTCATGGATCGGGAGAATTAACATCATCAAAATGGCCATCCTGCCAAAAGCAATATACAGATTTAACACCATTCCAATAAAAATCTCAATGACATTCTTCAAAGAAATAGAAAAAATATTAATGAGATTCATATGAAACAACAAAAGACCTCAAATAGCTAAAACTTTCATGACTAAGAAAAAACAGAATGGAGGCATTACAATCCCAAACCTCAAGCTATACTGCAAGGCCATAATAATCAAAACTGCATGGTACTGGAACAAGAATAGACATACAGATCAGTGGATTCAAATAGAAAACCCAGATATAAACCCACAGGTTTATGGACAGTTAATTTTTGACAAAGGAGCAAAGAAGATACAATGGAACAAAGAAAGTTTGTTCAGCAAATGGTGCTGGAAAAATTGGGAAGCTACATGAAAAAAAAATGAAACTAGATCACACCATACACAAAAATCAACTCAAAGTGGATTAAAAACCTAGACATAAGAACAGAAACTATAAAATACCTGGAAGCAAAAATGGGCCAAACACTACACAACATACACTTCAGCCACATCTTAAAAGATAGAGCACCCAATGCAATGATAGTGAAGGCAAGGATAAATAGATGGAACTCTACATCAAGTGAAAGAGCTGTACAGCAAAAGAGACAGTACAAAAGACAGACATCCCACTGATTGGGAAAAAATTTCCTTACACAAAACTAGCAATAAAGGATTGATCAAAAAGATATATGGAGAACTGATGAAATTCAACAAAGATAAACAACCCCATCAAAAAATGGGCAGAACTAAAAATACACTTCTCCAAAGAGGAAATGCAGATGGCCAACAAGCATATGAAAAAATGTTCAACATCACTTGTAATAAGGAAGATGCAAATTAAAACCACAGTGAGCTACTACCTCACCCCAGTGAGAATGGCACATCTACAAACAACTAGCAGCAACAAATGTTGGCGAGGATGGGGAGAAAAAGGAACTTTTCTGCACTGCTGGTGGAAATGCAAACTAGTACAACCACTATGGAAAACTGTTTGGAGGTTCCTCAAACTGCTAAATATGGAGCTTCCATACAACCCAGCAATCCCACTCCAAGGTATCTACCCAAAAAACACAAAAACACTGATTCAAAAGGATACCTGCACCTCCATGTTTATTGCCGCTTTACTTACAATTGGAAAGACATGGAAGCAGCCCAAGTGCCCAAAAAGTACATGACAGGATTAAAAAGATGTGGTACATATATACAATGGAGTATTACTTAGCAACCAAAAAAAATAAACACATCTTTTGCAGCAACATGGATGGAGCTGGAAAAGATCATGCTTAGTAAGATAAGCCAGAAAGAAAAAGAAAAATACCAGATGGTTTTGCTCATAGCAGGTGTATAATGGACCAGGCGAGAAAATAATAATAATAATAATGGTCAGCCATATGCCAGAGACATTTTGTGGGGGTGGAGTGGGGAATGGGACCAAAAACAGTGGGGGGAGGGAAGTGCGCTGGACTATGGCAATGGCAGATGGGTGACTTGGTGATGGGAAACCCACAGGGATTACAGTTGAGATGAAAAAAAAAGTACAAAATGATGTAAAAATAAACTATTGTATCATTAAAAAAAAACTTGAGAGACTTTATTAAACTGACATAGTATTTCTGTTGCAGGTGAATAACGACTTTATTTTAGCAACCGAGAGAGATTCATTTGTGGATCAAGTGCGGGAAATTATTGAAAAAGCTGATGAAATGCTCAGTGAGGATGTCAGCGTGGAACCAGAGGGTGACCAAGGGCTAGAAAGTCTTCAGGGAAAAGATGACTATGGCTTTTCAGGTTCTCAAGTAGGTTTGCCATTCCCGTTGTGAAATTTTGTTTACTTAAAATATTTCTATAGTGCAAAATTTGCCAAGAAAAAATGTCACATTGACACCTGTGACAGAGATTATCAAACACTGATAACCCTCTTTGTATGTAGTCATTTGTTTTGCCTAATTGTTGAGATTGTATTGGAGAATTAATTTAATCCCTTTGTTGTAGAAGCTGGAAGGAGAATTCAAACAACCAATTCCTGCATCTTCTCCACCACAGCAAATAGGTGAATTTCTTTCATATCTTTGTTTGCTTTTACCAGAAATGATGTATACTAGTAATGAAATCTTGATGCAGAGTCTCGGGGCG